ACTTGGTCAGATTTCCCTGATTTGTCCTCCATGCCTTGCCTGCTGATCTACGGTCATCACCTACGGACCGTGAATGGACCTACGGTCCATAGATCACCTCCGTGGATGCCTTTCTTCTGCATTTATTTCAGCTGTCTCTACACTTCCGCGCCTGAACGTCTTTCCTGTAAAACATGATAAAAACACATCAAAACCAATATAAAAAGGCCTTAGACACACACAACTTGTAAGTGAAACGTATTAGAAATACCGTAAACTCACGGTATATCATGTGCTACTCCCAACTAACTTCTGAGGCAACCTAGCTAACTGTTGACGTGGACTATAAATATCTCAATATCCCTCCTCAAGTTGGACGTGATACTAGCACAATCAACTTGTCTAATATTGCAGAGTGTTTAACTCCTGTGAGAGCCTTATTAGTGAGAACATCAGCTAACTGATCACTGGTTCTAATATGACACAAGAAAATGAGGCCTTCTAGGATTTTAGCTCGTACATAGTGACAGTCAACCTTGATATGTTTAGTTTATTTGTGAAAAATAGGATTTTTGGCTATCTGTAAGGCTGATTGGCTATCACAATAAATAGGAAAGGGACCATCTCTAGGCATAATGAGTTCTACGAATAGTCTATCCAGAAGGCTTGGACCTTGTAATCATCAGTGGAGGACATGAACAACCCCAATGTTGGATCCTTTTTGAGATACCTGAGCATGGGAAAAGCAACCAGCAGGTGAGGTTCTCTAGGATCCTGCCTGAACTGGCTAAGATGTTAAACTACATATGCACTGGGTCTGGTATGGGTTTTTCCTCACCTGCTTTGAGTTTGACAGTAACATCAAGAGGTGATGCAAGACCGAAATAGTGTGAGAAGGAACTGATTTCCAAACCTAAGAAATAATGCAACTTCCCGAAATCCTTTATTTTAAACTGATTGTGAAGGAAACTTTTCAACTGCGCAATCTCTTCTAAATCAGTTCCAATGAGTAGAATGTCATACACATATACAACTATAAATACAATAGAGTATCCCTTCTTTCTATAGCACAATGAATAGTCATTAGTATAATCCCTAGATCTTAGTGCATCAGATGGTTTGGCATACCATTGTCTACTTGCCTGTTTCTAGCCATTAAGTGACTTATTCTATTTGCAAACCAGTCCTTTGGTGTGAATGTCTAGTCCATGTAAACTTCCTCATGTAGTTCCCCACGAAGGAATGCATTGGTCACATCCAATTGGTAAATACTCCAATGTTTCTTTACAACAGTAGCAATCAGAGCTCTCTCAGTTGTCATTTTGATAACAAGAGAAAAAGTCTCAGTGTAATGTAATATACTCCGTAGTGTTTGAGTGTAGCCCTTCACAACTATCTTGGCCTGATATATCTCTATACTACCATATGCCTTGTGCTTGATTTTGTCAACCCATCCGCAAGTTCATTTGTGTGCTTATACTAAGCTACAAGTCCTGATCTAAACTGTGCAACATCCGCCCCCCCCCCCTTCCCCAATTTCCTCCAAGAGGTTTCTTCCATAAAATCCTCATATCTTCCTTTATGTAAAGGATTGAACAAAATCAAAACTATGAGTCCTATATTTGAGAGTTTGAGCTTAATTGATTTGGATGATCTTTGGTTGTTGGAATACTTAAATCTAATCTCAACTTCCTTATTCGATTCCTTTATATTCCAAAACTCATGTGCCTTGGTGGGTTCAAAGCTAATGGAAGTTGAGATTAGATTGAAGTATCACTACAACATAAACAACTTTTAGTGGCAATAAATATAAACATTAATAAAGAATGTTAAAGTCTTTATCGGCATTAGTTAAGTGCCATTAGAACCAATGTCGCTAAAGGCTTTGTTAGAACAAAAATACTCAAGAAACTGATTTGAAGAATAAAAATTGAGTGAACTTATGAATTCCAGCTGTGTATTAATTTGCATAAGATCTGAATTTATACAAGGAAAAACCTAACCATTTCCTATCTAGTAGCCACTAACAACCATCAAATGGGCCACTAACAGCCATTAAATGGGCCACTAACTTCAGAAAGTTGAGCAACTAAAGTTGACTAAGTCTAGCTTAAAAATAGGAAGCACTAAACTGAAATAAGTAAAAACAATAAAAAAAACAGTAAAAATAATAAGCTGGAAAAAATCCCAATTTTCTAACACTCCTCCTTGGCATTTTTGTGGCAAACACCAATTCGTTGCCTCAGATCTTCAAACCTTTCCTTTGGCAATGACTTGGTGAAAATGTCAGCTAGCTGGTTCTGAGATGAACAATGAACAAGCAACACTTCATTAGATTGTTGGACTTCTCTAATAAAATGAAACTTGATCTTGATATGCTTAGTTCGACCATGAAACACTGGATTTTTTGAGATAGAAACTGCTGAACTGTTGTCACACATGATCTTGGTAGCTTCTGTTTGTTCATAGCCCAAGTCCTTCAACATCTTCCTTAGCCAGATAGCTTGATTCACAGCAGATGCAGCAGCTATGTACTCAGCTTCTGCTGTTGATTGAGCTGTAGTTTCTTGTTTCCTAGAGCTCCAACTAAAACAACTTGTCCCCAAACAAAAAAGATATCCAGAGGTGCTTCTGGAATCATCAACTCCGCCACCCCAATCACTATCAGAGTACCCGATCAGGTTCATGGTTACTTCGGCAGATGTTGGGAAAAAAATTCCAAACTTGCTGGTTCCTTTAATATACCTTAACACTCTTTTAGCCGCTGTGAAGTGTGTGTCTCTAGGCGAATGCATGAACCTAGAGAGCAAACTTACAACAAATAGAATGTCAGGTCTGCTTGCGGTTAGATATAGAAGACTGCCAATTAAGCTTCTATACATACTATTATCCACTTTTTCGGAATCCTCATCCTTGCCAAGCTTCACACCAGTAGAGATTGGAGTACTCACAGGTTTGCAGTCTTGCATTTTGAACCTGTTTAGAATATCCGAAATGTATTTCTGCTGGCATATGAAAATTCCATCACTGGATTGCAACACTTCCATGCCAAGAAAGTACTTCATGACTCCAAGATCAGTCATTTCAAAGATTTTCTCCATTTCATCCTTGAACCTTTGGATTAGTTCAATTTTGCTTCCTGTCACAAGCATGTCAAATGGGCCACTAACAGCCATTAAATGGGCCACTAACTTCAGAAAGTTGAGCAACTAAAGTTGACTAAGTCTAGCTTAAAAATAGGAAGCACTAAACTGAAATAAGTAAAAACAATAAAAAAAACAGTAAAAATAATAAGCTGGAAAAAATCCCAATTTTCTAACACTCCTCCTTGGCATTTTTGTGGCAAACACCAATTCGTTGCCTCAGATCTTCAAACCTTTCCTTTGGCAATGACTTGGTGAAAATGTCAGCTAGCTGGTTCTGAGATGAACAATGAACAAGCAACACTTCATTAGATTGTTGGACTTCTCTAATAAAATGAAACTTGATCTTGATATGCTTAGTTCGACCATGAAACACTGGATTTTTGTAGATAGAAACTGCTGAACTGTTGTCACACATGATCTTGGTAGCTTCTGTTTGTTCATAGCCCAAGTCCTTCAACATCTTCCTTAGCCAGATAGCTTGATTCACAGCAGATGCAGCAGCTATGTACTCAGCTTCTGCTGTTGATTGAGCTGTAGTTTCTTGTTTCCTAGAGCTCCAACTAAAACAACTTGACCCCAAACAAAAAGATATCCAGAGGTGCTTCTGGAATCATCAACTCCGCCACCCCAATCACTATCAGAGTACCCGATCCGGTTCATGGTTACTTCAGCAGATGTTGGGAAAAAAATTCCAAACTTGCTGGTTCCTTTAATATACCTTAACACTCTTTTAGCCGCTGTGAAGTGTGTGTCTCTAGGCGAATGCATGAACCTAGAGAGCAAACTTACAACAAATAGAATGTCAGGTCTGCTTGCAGTTAGATATAGAAAACTGCTAATTAAACTTCTATACATACTATCATCCACTTTTTCGGAATCCTCATCCTTGCCAAGCTTCACACCAGTAGAGATTGGAGTACTCACAGGTTTGCAGTCTTGCATTTTGAACCTGTTTAGAATATCCGAAATGTATTTCTGCTGGCATATGAAAATTCCATCACTGGATTGCAACACTTCCATGCCAAGAAAGTACTTCATGACTCCAAGATCAGTCATTTCAAAGATTTTCTCCATTTCATCCTTGAACCCTTGGATTAGTTCAATTTTGCTTCTTGTAACAAGCATGATCAAGTTGCTTTACATAGATCTCTTCAGCAAGCAAACCATTCAAAAGAGCCGATTTGACATCAATTTGATGAATCTGCCAGGAGCTATGAGATGCAAATGCAAAAATAAGCTTGATTGTGTCATACCTTGCTACAGGAGCAAATGTTTCCTGGTAATCCACACCATATTGTTGTGCGTATCCCTTCACCACCAATCTAGCCTTATGTTTGCAAATTGTTCCATCAGGATTGAGTTTTGTCTTGAAAATCCATTTTACACCAATCACCTTGCAATTTCTAGGTCTGTCAACAAGCTGCCAGGTTCCGTTCTTCTCTATCATGTCTAGTTCATCTTGCATAGCGCTCCTCCATGCCTGAGAGTCTTGTGCTTCAGCATAGCTTGTTGGTTCAGAGGTAACCAAGTTACACCGCTAATAGACATCTTTTAAGGTTCGAGTTCGCCTCACTGGTACATCATCCACTAGTTCATCTTCTGAAAGTTGAGGCTGCTCTTTTGAAAATAAATCAGAATGAGAGGTCTTCTGATTTTTCCAATCCCAACCAACTGCTTCATCAAACTTCACTTCTCGGCTGAGAATTAGTTATTCTGATTTCAAACAGAAAATCCTGTAACCTTTGGATGAACTATAGCCCATAAATATGCCTTTATGAGCCTTGTTGTCCAGCTTAGTCCTCTTTGTTTCTGGAACTCGATAATAACATATACACCCAAAGATTCTGAGATGGTGTACTGATGGTTTGTTCCCACACCAAGCTTCATATGGAGTCATGTCCTGCAAGGCCTTAGTAGGCAATCTGTTCAGCAAATATACAGAGGTATTGACTGCCTCCGCCCAAAACTGATTTGGGATCTTTCTTTCGAGCAAAAGACATCTGGCCATCTCCATTACTGTCCTGTTCTTCCTTTCAGACACGCCATTTTGTTGAGGAGTGTATGGTAATGTCAATTGACGTTCAATACCTGTGCTATTACAAAACTCCACAAACTGAAAAGAAGTATATTCTCCTCCATTGTCAGACCTTAAAGCCTTAATACTAAGATTACATTGATTTTCTACTAAAGCTTTAAATTGTTTAAAAACATCAAAGACTTCACTCTTCAGTCTAATGAAATAAACCCAACACATTCTGGTGTAGTCATCAATAAAGAGGAGAAAGTATTTGTTACCACTCAATGAATGTGTTTTCATTGGGCCGCAAACATCCGTATGAATGA